AATGGAGGAAACTGAGAGTAACATGACTCATATTCTCTCAGGATTTATATTACTCAACAGTTGTAAAATGTACACCTTTGGTAGATGCATTCACTCTTTAGACTAGTCTGCAATACTTCAGTGTATTCTCTTAATGGTACTATATAAAACTCAAGGGAGGTGACTACATTTTAATGCAGCTTCCAGCATATTCACATAAATGTGTATTTGTGGGTGCATATGTGTGTGTGTGTGCATGCATGTGTGAGTGACATACATCAGAGTGACAGAAAATATTTTACTCAGAGATTAAAATGCTTAATTTCATTAGATTTATGGACCTCTGTCTAGAAATAATTTCAACATAGCATAGGAGAGTGTTCATTAACATGAATTTTTTTAGGAAATTATGGCTTTAAATTTCTAGTTTTGAAAGACCATCTTTATAATAATATTGTGTCCCCACATACCCGAGCTGTGTTAAGTTGTACTCTTAATGAGTTATTTTTCTACATTTACGTATAATTTCTACTTATAAATTCATGATTTCTTTTTCTTTCTTTTTTTAACCTTATTTAGTTATTGTTATGTGGTGCTGAGGATCAAAACCAGTGCCTCACATGTGCTAGGCAAGTACTCTACCACTGAACTACAACTCCAGCCTCATGTTTTCTTTTTCAATGATAAATGAAAAACTTTTTTTCTGAGTTTCAAAGAGCCAATCTGAAATATAATAAAGGATACTGAGAAAGTTAAAATTCTTTTCACAATTGATCCAAAAGAGCTCAAAGGGGACTTAAACTCACTATTTCTGGCAAATAAGATTATTATTTGAAGCAGGATCAAGAAAAGAAATAATTTTTCATTGCTGGAGTACTCCTAGAATATAGGGTGAAAACTCTTTAGCTATTTCCCTTTCTTCTATTTCTTTTTTTCCCACTTATTCCCAGATTGGATGATCAACAATGCACCAGATATTAAATACACAGCACTTAATTATTAGCAAAGGAACTTGCATATTCAGTAGGTTGGTTCCTATTATGCCTATGTATTGCTCAGATGACTCCTATTTGTGCTTTAAATATCATAGATATTTAAAGTAGAAGATCCCAGCATAGTGATTGCAGACTTCATAAAAAAGTAATCAATGTTATTCCCTTTGGTCTTTAGCATAAAAATGCTTTCAATAGTTTTCATTATTCACTGATTCATTCAACAAAATATTAAATGCCTATTATATACCTAGAACTGTCTTATACACTGGAGATATAGCAATATCCAAGTTAAGTCTTATCCTCACAGAGCTTACATGCAAGAAGTGAGAGGAAGCATATAGTAAATAAATAAGCAAATAAAGAAGATTATTTCAGATTACGCTAAATTTTATGAATAAGATAAAATAGGGTGTTGTATGATGACTTTGGGGTGGGTAATATTAAGTGGAAAAGTTAGGGAAGCTGATTAAAGATTAAAGCTGATTAAATTTGAGTTGAAAGTAAAGGCTGAGAGAAACCATTTCATATATGAAAAGTTAGAGAAGGAAGTTTCTGCACAGAGAGAAAACCAAATTCATAAGGTTTTCTTATTTCAAGGAAAGTAATTCAGCATGTCTGAATGTTGATGAGGTACATGAATTATTTTGGACTTTGCAGGATATGGTAAGATATTTGTGTTTTGTTTGTTTTCAGTTGGAAAGTCACACTAGAGGATTTTCTCGATGGCAACGATTCAGAATGTTGTGCAGAGATTGTTTTGTAGGAAGCCACAACTGGAAGCAGGAAGAGGGGTTTGAAATCTGACAGAATTCTCAGAGAGACATAATGTCCTTGGAACAGGACAGTGTCAATGCAGAGAGAGGAAAGCAGACTTGGAACTCTATTTTAGAAATAGAACAAATAAAACACGCTGATAGATTGAACATAGAGCATGAAAGGAAAAGAGGAATCAAAGATGACTAAGGATTTTGGCTTGAGCAATTGGTACATGAGAAACATTGGAGGATGAACATGTCTAATCATAAACTTAAAACCTTACTTTCATCTGAGAAACTCAGATTTATTCCTCTGTGATTGAAAGTAATCCTGGTTACAGGTATTACTTTCCTAGGTATGGCTTTTATTCTGAAACATTTGGGAAAACTTCACTAGGATTCAAAAGAGTGAATAGGGCAAGTACTTGGCCCCTGACTCCCAATAAATGGGGCCCTGTTCTGGCTTTTCTAGATAGATTACACGTATTTGTGTCTTCCAGCATACCTTTTCTTTCTTCCTTCCTTTTTTTGTCTTTGTATTACCAGTGAATTCCAAAAACTTCTCTTGATTTCTTTAGTTTTCCAAAACTCACAGATGATGTTTTCCTTCTTTGATCATGAATTGAAATGGAAATCTGAAGTCTTTCCTAAATTGTGCCTTAACAAACCCCTCCCCATGGCTTTAAATTTATTCTTTGAAACTATCATATTGAACTATTGATGCTTTAATGCTATATTCAACTTATCTGTCTCACACTCTCATAGCATCAACCTTACTGTGGAACTAAAACAATAGAATCCCTGATTATGTTAATTAATACTGAATAGGATATAGCAAGAATTTCTGAAAAAAGATATAGAAGAGAAATTTCTTTTTATGAAATAAAGATTACATTGGTTATGTTTTTGAAGAACATGGGGAGGTTCAGTTTTGTGTCCAATAACAGTGACATCAAACTAGTGTGACCAGGACAGACCCAGTATCTGCCTATTGTTTCTATCTAAACATTAATAGCTCCCTGCCTTAGGAGTTCTGATTGAACAGTAAATGATATGGTGAGCCTACCTCAAAGATGTGATACAGTCACTAATTTTGGAGAAATTTGTCTTGTTGATTTGCTTTTGTCACTGTAACCAAAATATCTCACAAGAATGAGGAAGAAGAGTTTATTTTAGCCTCAAGTTTTCAAAGGATTCAGTCCATGTTTCACTGACTTGAATGATTTGGGCCTGAAGTGAGGCAGAATACCATGGTAGAAGGTAATAAGGGAAGAAAGATGCTCAGCTTCTTGGCATCCATAAAGCAGAGTCAGGGTGCAGGGGGAGAGAGAGGAGCCAGGGACAAGATATATAATCCCTAAGGTCATGTCCTCAGTGACCTACTTCCTCTAGCCTATGGTTACCACCCAGTAATTCATTCAAATTATTAATCCAATGCATGGATTAGTCCATTAGTTATGTTATAACTCTCAAAATCTAATCATTTACCTCTGAACATTCCTGCATTATCTAATATGAGCTTTTGGGGCACCTCACATCTAAACTATAGCAATTATTTCCATTTAAGTAACTGTAGTTTTTTTTTTTAACCCTGATGTGCTCAAAAGAGTGGAATGCCACACGTATATCACAACTATTATCACCACCATCCTCAGGGTCGGATAAAAATACTACCCAAAAAACAAAAAAAGGAAGTAAGTTTTACTCTGGTCCTGCCTTTTATTCTATAATTACCCACTTTAAAATTTTGCCTAAAAAGACTTTTTCTTATATCTACATAGTTGTATTAACAGTTTGATCTGGATTAAAGATTTTAAATTTGACCAAGTAGGAGATACACACCAGTTCTACATGCTGAAACTTCTTCCTCTGGAATCCTTATCTTCAAAATATCCACATTGTTGAAGCTAAAGAACCTGCATTTATGGCCCCCAAATCCAAATTTTAGATAGGCTTCTTTTCATCACATCTGATATACCTACTACAGAAAGAAGCATGAACCAAAGAAATTAGATCTACCCTGAAAAAAAGGGTAGCCCCTTTAAGACTTGAGACATGGAATGATCAGGAACCCTTGATTCTACGCATTATGACATCATTGAGCAAATAACAGAGAGACTAGCTATAGATACAAGGGAGGCTTTCTTGCCAACCTTCATTGAAATCACACTTTCAATAGTAATGGTTTTCTTTTTTTGTTTTGTTGTGGTTTTTTATTTTATTTTAAAGAAGATTGCAAAAACAAAGCAGAAAAGGAAAGCTCAAAGACAAAAGAAAGATATCTAAACAATGGAGAAATATTGGGTCTGTCTCATTCTTCCTGATTGTATCAGTAGGTCTTTCCACATGAAAACTAACCTTTCTCTATCTCATCCCCTGATGATATTACCAATGCAAGATTCCCTATCCTCAAGGGTGATTGTGGATATGAGCTGAAATGTGAATTTCAATTTTTTTTTTTAAGTCAAAGTCTGGTGGATAATTTTATATGCTAAATCAAAATAACTATATCAAAATAGCTATGTAAAACTATCCTCAATTTTAAAAGGGCTCCATCAAAATAGCCATACCACAAATGTTATATACCTGCACATAACTAGTGTAGCTATAACAATACGCTTGGTATAGACCTGGATCCACTCTTATATGTCTCATATATGTGTTAAAAATGTCGATTTCTTGTTTCAATTGTCATATTACTACAATTCAGTCTCTACTCATGTTTACTTGAAGGATAGTCTTTGAATTCTAAGTTTTTAACAATTAATTAGCATAGACTTTTTTTCTTACAAAATTATAGTATGCTGTGGCCCTTTGATGCTGTAGCTCTCTGGATTTGCCCTAAATTTTTATTTACAAGAGTTACTTTCTGTCAACTGTGTTTTCTATGGGAATTTGTTTCATAATGTAACAGTGGAAAACTGGATTTAAATTTAAACCTTTTGTGTGGAAGGGTCACTTACTGCTTAGAGTGTGACTTAAATGTATCATCTACTAGGAATTCCTCTTTAGGAAACCATTTTCCATTCCTAAAATGATGATTGATTGATAGGTAGAATAAAATAAATAGAGGCTTACAAAGTTGTCAGTATAATACATATGTTATCTGTTTCAGAAATTATATTTTTTATTTTTAGGAACAGGTCCGGAACTGTCTTAATATTTAGCTATAATCATGTAGAATCAAAATAGGCTCTTATATATTGTGTTTCAAATTTCTTTAAAACCCTAACATATTTTGTCTTTCTCTTTAAAAAAAATCTATGAGCAGAATCCTTGGAGCTTATCCCATCAGGGGGTGCTTCCTGGAAGTCCTGTATCTCCATCATCACAGTTCTCCGGAAGAAATTATAAGTAAGTTATTCCTTAAAAGGGAAATTAACACATACAAATGCTGAAAAAAATAAACAGTATTTCCTCTGGGAAAAAGTTATTTGGTAGTTTTAATTTATGTATTTACTTTTTAGTAAGAGGTATGTTGCAGAGAGAAAGATGAATAGTCAATAATGTTTCCAACTGTGAATATGTACATAACTGTGCTTCTGCCCAAATAAAAGATAATCTTTTGAAACATTTCCTGAAAGAAAATTCAGTTGTGACAAATATTAATTTGTTAAGACTTTCTAAATTTTACATTTTTCATTTATCTAAGTACCAAAATAATTTCTCAAACATTCTGAGACAGACATAGGAGATATTCCCTAACAAAAGAATAAAAGGATAATGGTATAGTTCTTTCAGTTTCATAAGGATGTCATTATTTTATTATGCATGTTATAGCAGTCTAATGTGACTTCTGAATAACTTCATTTATTTGATTCATATAGAATATTTCACATAACAGTGTTCTAAAATCCTAAAATATTTTTTAAAATACTAAAATATTTTTCTTTAATTTAAAACAGCTTTAAGATTCATGAGCCCAAAGAGGACAATCATTACAACTATCCATCTCATAATTGGGATGACTCTCAGGGACCAGCTAAACCTGAAGCAGTTTATGGGAACAAATACTCTTCAAACATGCACATGAAGCCACTCTTTGTATGTATTATGCATCTCAATTTCTATATATGATTATTGCCGTAATGCAAATTCATGTATCACAGTGAATGCTAAGACTTTATTATAAGAAAAGTGTGTGACAGAATTGATTCAAATATGGGTTTGGAATGTTTACTTTATATGACAAACTATAACTACTCTGTCATTTATTAAAATAAGATTCAAAAAATGAATCAAAGATATAATATATATATATAAAATATGTATTAGTATATGTGTAGATATATGCAATATATTCATAAATGATTTATATAAAAGTATTATATAAAATACATTTACAATCTTTAAAAGGATATTTGAGATCAAAGGAAGAAAGACTACTTGAATCTCATGAGACTGACTCAGAGGTGAAACTGGTCTTATGCTACTATAGTTATTAAATTGTCATAATTTAATAACACAATTGTGGTTTTTTGTGTTTTAGTATAGTTTAGTATATCATGAAGTACATCACCCAAGTTAATGCTGGATACTAGCTAACTGCTGATCACCAGTTATACGACATATTAACACAAAGTACAAACTGGGTTTCTTTGTAGAAGTGTTTAAAAACAGCAATCAGAGAAAAACAGTAAGGTAGATAATTATCTGAAAATTATTTTTACAAATTTTCTTAACAAATGATACAAAATATAGAAAAAGAGAACTAGTTCACCAAAAATGAATACCTGATGTTTGTCAATATAATTAACTGGATTTTGAGGGGGGGAGGTTAATTTTTGGTTGACGATAGATAGCAAAGAAACATTCTCTGAAAAAAATTCATTGTAAATTGAAGAATAACCTCAGAGCAATAAATCATGAAAATGCAAATGTGGAGTTTTAATGATTTTAATTATTCAAGAAGATAAAAATGCTAAATGTATGATTGAACAAAAACTGATTTACTACTGTGCTCTAGCACATTTTAGAATAGAATATGTGGAGCAGTGATGGAACTGGGCAAAAATCTGTGAATACTTAAGGGATATATTAAATTCTGAAAGAAAAGGAAATGAGAGACAATTGTACTGAATTCATTTAGGTCAGTATGTATGGAAATTCAAGAAGAGAAAGCCCAAGTAAGAAAAGAGGAAAGGTTAATATTGATAATACAGAGGGGAAACTGGCTGGGTTTGAATGTCCAAGGCTTCAGGATCAGTTTTGATTTGTGTATTAATTCTCTATTGCTGCATAACAAGTTCCCACACACTTAGCAATTTAAACACATTTATTTTCTCGGTTTCTATGGATCAGGAGTGAACATAGGTCCACTATTCAGGATCTCAAAAGGCTGCAGTCAAGGTATTAGACAGGCTTCCTTCTCATCTACAGTTGGATCCTCTTCCAGGTTCACATATTTGTTGGCAGCATCCACTTTCTTGCAGCTGCAGAATATTATTTCCTCTCCACCCACCCCACTATTCCTTGCTGTCAGCTTTGAGCAACTGTCAGTTCCTAGAGGCCACCTGCAGTTACCATGTGGCCCTCTGACAGACCTTCTCACAACATTGCCCCTTATTTTTTGAAGGCCAGCAGAATATCTAGCTCCATTCTTATAGGATGGAATCTTAAAGAATGGAACGTAGTCAAGAGAGTAGCTATCTCATTTATATTCTTTCTTCTGCTGCTAAAAGAAAGACACGGGTTCTTCTCACACTCAAGGAATGGAGGAAGTTATACAAGGATATAACTCCTGGGAGGGTCATTCATTAAGGTGTACCTAGATAATAGGAACTTACCTTTTAAAGGAAACTGAAATGGAATAATTGGGGATTTTATTAGAAGCCATGGTGAAGAGGGGAAAAATGATGATCCTTGAAGGTTATGGGATTATAGGAAGTCTGGGACAGACAGATTATTGACTAACATCACATTATCAATTATTCAACCAACTGGTTGAACCAAATGTGCCAGGCACTGTGGTAGTTAATGATAAAAAAATGGGTTCTGTCCCTACCCCCATGGAGCTATAATTTGGTGGGGAAAACAGATATTAAACAAGTAAACATGTATAGAATTACAAATTGTGATGAGTGCTATAAAATAAAAGCCCAGAAGGTACTGAGAATAAACAACAATCTTGAATAACAATTACATAGATTAGTGCAATTACCTGCAGTGTGTTGTCTATACTATCATTATCCTCAATTATAACTTCTAAGAGCAGCCTGGGAAGCTGAGGCAGGAGAATGACAGAGGAGTTCAAAGCCAGCCTCAGCAACTTAGAGAGGCCCTAAGAAACTCAGCGAGATCATGCCTCTAAATAAAATATACAAAAGGGGGCTGGGGGTATTGCTAAGTGGTTAGGGTCTCCTGGGATAATTCCCTGGTAACAAGAAAGGAAGGAAGGAAGGAAGGAAGGAAGGAAGGAAGGAAGGAAGGAAGGGAGGGAGTGAGTGAAAAGCAATGATGATAAAAGAGGTGGATACGAGACTCAAAAGGGATGACATCAGCCGTAGCTGTCTTTCTTGGCTATCTCAGTCAAAAAGTATTGGTAATAATTTCCAAGAAGTAGAGGAAGCATTAGCAGTGAAAAACAAGGAAAGAACAAAAGTTGAAGGGATGCAGATATTAATGAGGAGAAGATAGTGTGCACATGACAAGAAAGAATGTGGCCAGAACTCCTTAGAAAATATCTGAAGAAAAATTTCATCTCCCTCTCTGCTAATAACTTGAAAAACTTTCTTCTACTCAAGAAATCTCTCACTGTATTGTGGTTTAAAGATTATATGGAAAGCAGTCTCAGCATTCTTAAACCATATTATTAAAATTGGTGTCTGAGTGTACTATAGTTGTTAGATACAAAAACCTATATCAAGATTTTGCCACTCCTGACCTCAGCAGCAGCACTTGGTACTCACTGATTCTTGAACTCTTCCTTCATCTTCCAGGATACTTCTTTCCTGGTGATCTGCCTGCCTCTCTGACTATAATTCCCCAAACATTTTCAGAAACACTTCAACCCTGTTCACAACTTAAATGTTGTTATTTTCCAGGGTTCCATCTTGTTGGTAAATTTCAAATCTAATTTCACCTCATAAAAGTCTCTCTAGATATAGACCAGTGATTCTATTAGCCTAAGGGATAGCTGTTCATTTATATTTCTAGCAGGGCTCTTAAAGGCAGAAGCCATTATCCCTTCAACACCCCCCCTTCATCCTCTGCCATACACTATTATCTCAGTGAATGGCATAATTTATCTACTCATTTAAGCCTGAACACAAGGAATCCCTTTTTTCCTTATCAGTCTCCCTAAATCTAACCATACACAAAGTCACATGGGATTTTTGTCCTAAATCTCAAGTGACCAACATATCACAGTTTGACTGGGATGATCTAGGTTTTAAAATTGAAAGTCCTACCTCCCAGGAATCTCCTCAATCCTGGAAAAATCCATTTCCTCTGCCACTGACATAATTCAGGTCTTCATTATCCCCCTTCTAAATTATTGCTAACTACTCTGACACCTGTCTCTTCTATTTCAGGCTTAAATATTACACTGTTGCCAACATGACCATCCTTAAAACAAATCTGATCTTATCATGACAGCATAAAAGACCTTACTTGATCCTTACTGCTTATAGGTCAAAGTAAAAACTCCTGAAGAAAGCATAAAAGGCTGTTCATATTCTAGCCCCTCTTATCTTTACAGCTCTCCAGATGTATCTCTTGTTACTCTTGGGCTTATGCACTATTGATTTGGCCATACCTAACCTACTGTTTTCCAAGTATGTGGTTACTGAGCATTTATGATTCATTTTCTGAAAAAAAAAACTGAGTCATCCTAAAATACCTACTTGAATATCATATTCTACATGAAGCCTTTCCCCAAATCTCTAATCAGAGGTAGTGCTCTCTCTTCTACCTTCCCATCAGTTCTGTGTTGTTGCCTTTATTCTTTTACTAAGGTGACATAATTATTTATCTTTTTTCTATTGATCTATGCCTCTCACTTGACTTTGAATTCCTCTAGATTAGGGAAAATATTTTATTTTTATTCTTGCATCCTGAATGTCATGCACAGTGCCTTACCACAAAGTGATTGTATGTGTATGGATGGATGTGTGTGTGTGTGTGTGTGTGTGAGTGTGTGTGTGTGTGCACATGCATGTGCACGCATATATATAATATTTGAGTTATTCTCGTACAGAGGAAGGTTACCAGAAAGTTTCCTAGTAAAAATAGAGAAGTCTCACAGTAAGAGCCTACAGTATTCATAATTTCTCAGTTCTGTCTTAAAATGATAATTTAGATGCTCAAGGGTACTTTCTTAGGGTCTCTGTAATAAAAAAAGTACATTCATGATTAGAGATTTTTAATTTTTAGAAAATAAGATGTTATGCTGAGGAAAATGAAGTTTGAGTATGAAACTATCATAAAATAATTCTATAGCAGTGATAAAATGTTGGTTGTATGATAGAAATAATAGGTGTTTTAAAAACAACCATATAATTAGAAATTTGTGTACAAAACTGTACAAAAAAGGAAAAAATGTGATAATTCATAAAACAAAAAAATATTAGTTTTGACATAATACTATGCTCCTATTCATCCTTGTGCAGTATTTGACTATGAACTTTGGTAACATAATATTCAGAAAAAAAAGAAATAATTGTTTTTCTTATGTACATTTTCTCCTGTAATATTAATTTCGTACTTTAGTACTGAGAATTTGGATTACACAATATCTAAATCAGTCTGGAAAAATTGTGTTACAAGTGTAGTGTTTAACGGTTATTTAAAAGTAGCCAAGAATTCACTTAGTAAAGGAAAATATTTTATGTGTTATTTTAAATCACTACAAATTTCTAAAAATGATTAAAAAGATTTCTAAATTAACTCAAATAATATAAGCCTAATTTCCCAAAACATAATCATATCTAAACAAGAACAGGAATTTTATTAAATGTCTTTTAATTACATTTGATATTTTAAATTTTCTTGCAGGATTTTTCTACACCAGGAGTTCCAAAATCAAGCTACATTCAAAAAGAGAGACAACACATTGGTTATTCAAGTTCTGAAGAGCCAGGAATTCCTTATAGAATAGGACGTGTGCAGATGAAACCCAACTATTAAGTTCCCTGTAGAGAAAAATATATATGTACAATAAGATACATGATCATCTGATCATTTTTAAAGTATTCTTGTAACACCTTAAGAAAACATTATGATTTATCTGTGCTCTAAATACTTTACTTTTCTTTCTGCATCAGTGTTTCCCTTTATATCTTGAACATTTCCTACCTGTCCTCTGTTCACAGAGGAAAAATTTCATCTCCAATATCCAACTTTAATAACTTACCTGTTATAGCAGATCCATGTTACCTCCAAAATTTGACATAATATTTGTTTACTGATTCATGATATGTAACTTTGTAAAGTGCTCAGTGAGATGCATAATATATTGATTGCAAATTACAAAAAATACTGAGTACTTTTGTAAATTACAGTTATGGAAGAAATCTCAAGAACTGCATCAAAGCTTCAGTATACAACGAATGAATTATATTTGAAATATGCAATTTGATTATAAATTAATTCCTGAAAAATAAAATAAGAATGGATAAATGATTTCTATAAACTGAGTGTTTCAAAGAATGATCCCAAGATCTGAGTTCCTCCCTCCAATATTTCCTTTCTTCTTTTATTATTGTTGTCCCCTTTTATCCTTCCTTTCATTAGTTAGCACTTATCATGCCAACTAAGTACCAAGGACTGGTAAGTTACTAAGGTACAAAGATGAATCTGAAATAGTCCCTAGAGATTAGATTGGTAGAAGAGACAAAGACAAATATCAATTTTTGGTCACACAGTGTGACCAATGCAATGATAAAGATGTATATAAGAACCTAGGAAATCAAAGACTAACTAACTAATAATAGGAAGAAGTATAAAGATAAAGGTGGAGGAAGAAGACCATTTTAATTAAGTGATGCTTAAGCTGTTGCAAGAAAATGAGTAGGAGTTCTCTTTATGAGAGTTTTGAGACAAAGAGAGTGAGTACACAGAGAGAATAGAGGTGAAAAACAAAATGGAGTATGAAGGCAATTATAAAAACTATTGCAGCATAAAAGTGGAAAAGGGAATAAGATAAGCGGTGAGGCTGAGGAAGTGGCAAAGACTAGTTCTGGAGGGTCTTATATGCCATATTAAGGAAATTAGACTAAATATTAGTAGTTATAGAGTTCTGTAATAATCTGTTTTGTGACACTAGATACTTTATAAAGAAAAGAGGTTTATTTGGTCACAGTTGTGGAGGCTTTAGAGTATGGCCCCCTAATCTACTAAGCTCTGATAAAGATCTTCTAACATCACAACCTGTTTAATGCCATTGTGATGAAAGCATGTGCAAGAATGAGAAATCACATGGTGATGCAAGAATCCAGAGGCTGGGGAAGGGCCAGGCTTATAACAAATCATTCTTGAAGGACTAATCTACTCCATGAGAGTGGCACTAATCCCTTCTAAATATAATCTTATATGACCTACCACCTTCCACTGGACCCTACCTCTTAAAGATTCCACCACCTTTATACTACCACACTGAAGGTCAAACCTCCAGCATTGTTAAAAAATATTTTTTTTTAGTTGTCAATAGATCTTTAGTTTTTTAAAATTATTTTTATGTGGTGCTGAGAATCAAACCCAGAGCCTCACACATGCTAGGCAAGCACTCTACCACTGAGCCATTACCCCAGCACAAACCTCCAGCATTTTAATCTATGGAGGATATGCTCAGACCATAGAAAGATCCACTGAAAAGTTTTACACAATCATGGTCAGATATTATATTTTAGATGAACACTTTGATGACTGTGACAGTTGAAGGGAGACAATATGGGAGTCAGGAAACCAGTTAGAAGTCAGAGATAATGGACTCAATAACTGAACCAATGGATAAGAACTGAGAGAAAAGGACTATCAAAGTGATTTGGGGGAAGTATATTCAAAGAACATAGAGGCTCTTAAATGTCATAAACAAGAGGAAGAAATTATAGTTGAAAGTATTTTGTCACTATTCTGGGGCATAGGTCTTAACAGGTCAATAGGTCAATGATAAGGCTGGAAAAGAATAGGCTAATGAAAGAACTGTAAGGACAGGAGTAGATGAATAACACTGTAGATCCATGACTTTCTGGTCAAGTGGGCAATTAACACTCTCCAAAATCTGACAATGAAATAGCTACTCTCCAATTCCACATGGTACTTATTTGACACCTTTCATTGAAGTTTGTCCCATTCCAACTCACCTCCATTCTCGACAGATGACCTCACCTTGTAATGTAAATAACAAACAAAACCCTTCAAATGCAAACACACAAATCCACAAGTAGTCCCACATTCATCACTTGTTTCAATATATCTCACAACCAATCTAAGAGTAATACTTTTGCTTTTTGTGTAAATTTCATTCTCCCCAGCATTTGCATTGGCCTTACTCTTACATCATTTGACCCTGCTTTTAAAATTATCAACTCTAATAATTGCAAATTCTTTATATCCTGTACTAATTTGTCAACCACTGATCCTTTTCTTAAACCATCTCTCTTTAATCCCTTGGGTGGAGGGGGCAGGAAGTAGAAGAGACAAAGTAGTTATCAAGTCTCCGTTCCCATACAACATAATTTGTCACCAGTACCTGTCCCTTCTTACTTCCTAAATATATTTCAAATATGTCCAGTTTCACATCTTTATCTCTATCCACTCTGCCACTACCCTCATAAAAGACCTCACCATCATTCCCCTGGACAATTTTAACAGGCTTCTAGTTGATCTTCTCATATCCACACTTCCCTCTATCCAAACCTATTGCCACAGTGCAGCAAGCATAATATTTTAAAATGCAAACCTAATTTTGTTAAAAAAAACTCCTCCTTAGAACATTTTATATCTTCCATTTACCCTAGAAGAAAACTTCAAATCCTTATAATAGGTTACAAAGTTCTCACAGACCCTACAGTATGGGGTTTCTGTCTCTTTCTGCCTTTTTCCATATATATATATATAAAATGTGTCTGTTTCTATGTGTTAGCGTATAATTTCCTATAATACAACTGCAAAATGCTTCATATGCATTATCTTATGACATGTTTATACCTTCCCTGTGAGTTGGGTACTATTATTTTCCCTAATAACTAATGAGGAAATTGAGGCTTTGAGTGATTTATTAACTCGTTCAAAGCCACAAAATTAGTATCAGAGCCAGAATTCAATCACAACTATCCTGACTACAAAGTTTATAGCTACTGCAGTATGTATTTTCCAGTTTATTAACATACCACTCTCAATCTTGCCAAATGTTCTAGTCATACTGGATCTGGAATTTTTCTTTTAGGGCTTTCATACATGTAGTATCCTCTATCTGGATAACCCAATGAGAAACACATTCCTGACATTCAGATGCTGCTTCTATGGAAGATGTGACCACCTAAGAGAAAATATCTAAATTGATCTGGCCCTGAAAGAGTTCATGGCTGGCTTAATGTTTTTCTATGAAAGTTATAGAGTCTGGAACATGAATAGATTTCAGGTTGTTAAAAGCTTCCTTTACTCATACTGAAAGACTTACAGGGCCAGACTTTGGGGGTAAGACTTCTGTAGGATTTTAATACTATACAAAAGCAGACTCTAACTGTATGTTTAATCAGAAATATACCTTGGGTGTTCAGAGTATCAGACTATTTCTCTCTCTCTCTCTCTCTCTCTCTCTCTCTCTCTCTCTCTCTCTGTGTGTGTGTGTGTGTGTGTGTGTGTGCTAGGGATTGAACATAGAGCCTTGTGCATGTGATGCAAGCACTCTTCCAACTGAGCTATATCCCAACCCCAGAGTATTGGTCTCTTAATGTTGATGCTGACATAACAACAATGTCTGGGTTCTGTCTGTGTTCATTAAAGAGTTCTCAAATTGTCAAAGGATTCTACTGTTAAGTTCTGACATCATAATAAGAAAAGATCCAGGATAGTCAAAAGCATAGTCTATATGTAAGGTATGATCTAGCATGGTGGTTATCAGTGTAAAGGACTCTTTAGACAGCCTCCTGAATTAAAATCCCAGCTTCTCCACTTACTAGCTGTGTGACATTAGGCAAGTGATGAATACTTTATGCCTCAGTTTCATCCTCTCCACAGTGAGGAAAATACTATGTACTTCATAGGTTAGTTGTGAGGATTAAATTGACCAAGACATATAAAGCACTTAAAATAGCACTCAGAAAAAAAGTAACCAAAAATCATAGCTATTGGCTGCTACAAATTAATATGGGAATAAGTCTTACATGAACAAAGGCTTCTTCTGCTGGCACTCCAAGAAAGAAATTCCATGTTTGATCTTATAGTACATGCTTGATTATAGCTGCCTTAGCTGACTTTTCCAAACTTTTCTTCTACCTCTCTTTCTCTTTTTAAAATTCTGACTATTCTTCTGATATATGATACCTGGACTGCCTGTTTAATTAATTATGTGATCAGGCCTGCTTGTTGACTCCTACACCTATCTCATCATGACAAAGGCAATTTGGTTTACAACTCCTTCCTGTTAGGCACAAGGATGAGTTTGGTTTGACTTTCTGACATTACCAAACATTATCACAAGTCTTTGTTCCTCATGACTAAAGGAGAGAGACAAAATTAGCAAAGATAACGTATGTTTATGGACTAAGTACCTCCATAGTTTCTCAGCCAAGAAAGAATTTTTACTACACTCTTAAAAGAATGAACACTTCACTTTATATTACTTTTCTAGGCAGAAGTATCTAGTTAAGATTATTTTAATTTTATCCATAATAGTTCTTCTTTTAGCACTATCCTTGAAATAGCTACAACTTTATAGTCTTTTATACAAATTTGTTCATGCTGAATTCTGTAGGAATATTCATACCTTATGGGATTTTTAACAGTTTCAGAGGAATTTTCCCTTCCTCCTGTACTCTTAAACATTTATCTTAATAGATACTTTGAGCATACTGTATGCATAATTATGAATGGTTTATGCAGCATGTTTAAGGTTTGTGATTTCATATCTAATTGAGATACACAGTAAGAATATTTTCTAATTATGATAAAATAATATTTTATCTTAAGACTTAGCCCATTTCCTAGCCCCTGACATTTATGTTACTGACACTTATAATCTAGAAACATAGTAAGATTAGGTGAATGCTTGGATAAAATTTTATTAGAAAAAGGATATTTTGAGTAAGACATTCTAGGGATTGCAGAGATGTCATTAAAGGCCAAGAGAATCATATCTGTAAATATAGGACCAGAGAGAGAGGAGAGGTCAAGTTCTCAGTGTCCTCCTCTCTAAAATGAAGGGGAAAGATAAAATGACTTTTCAGTTCCCTTCTAAGACATATCTAAATCCTGAAGGATGTGTCAAAAGTTTCTAGAACAAGGTCCAGAAAGTGGGTTAGATCTAGGAAGAATTTAGCAGAGATTAAGAACCCAGGCCTATTGACTGGGTAACAAAAATCCTAGAACAAAGAGTGAGAGCAACAAAATGTTACTAATTATTGGATCTAAGTGATAGACACAGGTCATCAATAATAAAAAAGAAGTTTGATACTGAGGCA